TGACATGAATAGCACTTTCGTTGACTGCGTGGATGGATGTTCAATTTGTGCAGTATAGGTATGTTCTGGGGTGTCCGATTGTGCAACCCATGCAATTCCTAATGCTCGATCATACATCACCTCGCTGTACCATTTCATTCGAAATGCTTCGTTCAGTTTCCGGTATGGTTGCGTAATTCAGGCGAGGACGAAAAGTACTTTCGCATTGGGAAAACTCCTTAGCAACCGGGGATGGGACATCAGCTCTCGTAGTAACTGCCTGCGGGACATCATTGCAGGAAGTGTTTAGGCCGGCACACACCAGACGCGATTCGACAACGCGACGCGATTTTTCGATTGTCACTGACCTGGTTTAAGTTTTTAAAATATTTAGAAGCGCTAAACATTTTGAGTTATTTGGTCTTCATATCTTTAAAATTTCCTTTCATTGGCTGTTCTATTCATTTCTAAAAACTGAAAAATCGCGCCGCGTTGTCTCGACCTTAGAAGTCGTCTACAAGATACCTCGTCTCACGGTGACTGCAGCTTCCGGCCACTGATCTTGGTTGTCTTTTGCCGTACGGATTATTTCGAAATTTGTTTCACATAGTAACGACCTGTCCCCCAAACACCAAACAGTTCATTTCATGAACGTCAGGCGGTCTTGTTGAATCCATTATCCATGTCACGCCACAAGTAGCGGTGATACTTGCGCTCCTCTTCTTTTGCACGAACATGGGGAAACATATCGGACATGTCTCCCACAAGCAGGACAGTGCCGAGCGGTGTCAGTTATGGAGGGGGTGAATTAAAGTTTGGGCCCCTTTCCTTTTGGGAACCCCCCTCAAAAAACTTTTCGGAAAGCAAAAATATTTCCTTAATATTTAACACGTTCCGCAATTCCAGCATTCCGGGGCCCCTCTGGGCAAGTTGGGCCGCCTTTTTTGACTTTTCGTTGGGGGTTGTTACACCTCGCATACCCCCCATCAGTAGTCCCGGCCCTGCCCACAAGTGGAATAGGTCTTTCAGGAAACTGCAACAGGATATCTGACAATAAATCGTTGTGAGACTGGTCCTGCCTCGAGGCTGTCGTTCAGACAATCACCGTTGTGCATGGCGGCAGAATCAAAATTGTTACAAATCATTGTGTCATTAATATTTAGTGGAAATCATTAATAAGTTCTTTAAATGTTTGCATGGCGATAAAATATAATTGTTCTTGTTTGGGAAAAACACCACGTAAATTTATTACTGCAAAGCTTTCGATCCGTAAGCCCGGATCTTCATCAGTGCTAATAATATGTGACTTGTTTAATTGACACGCTCTTTTATATACAAGAGTGTCGTGATCTGTTGGCTAGCGTCATTTGAAATTTAAATAATAATAATAATTTAAATTTAATTTTTTTTTCATTTAAATTTTTATGGGTCGCTAGGACATAAGGTTTATAGGAAACCAACACATACAGACAGGTATCTGCATTATAATTCATTTCATCATCCTAGTATTAAAAACTCCGTGTGGAAGACACTCCTCAACCGAGCGAAAACAATTTGTGAGGTAAGTAACATTGACGATGAATTAGAACATTTAAGAAATGTTCTAAAAATGAATGGTTACCCACGGCATTTCATAGATAATGCTATGAAAACGCCACAAAGTATACAGCAGAAGATTGAATATCAGTCGTCTGTTTGTCTACCATACATTGGTCCGGCTTCACACAAAATCGAAAGAATTTTGAGGAATGAAGCAGGTATAAAGGTATACCATCCCAGCGAAAAGAAATTGTTTCGAGCTCTTTGCACACATAAGGACAACGTAAATGAATCTCAGAAACCTGATGTGTACCGCATTCCTTGTGAATGTGGTCTGGTTTACATTGGTGAAACTGGTCGAAATCTCTCAGTACGTCTTAAGGAACACAAGACGAATTGCGAGAAAGCCGAGCAAGATAAATCTGCTGTGGCTAAACATACTTGGACTTACTTACGACCATTGTATAAAATGGGACGAAGCAACCATTTTGGCGATTGATAGTCATAAGTTCTCTCACAAAATGAGAGAGTCAATTGAAATCGAGAAGCACAATACTATAGATCAGGAGGGAAAGCCACTAGATAGTACGTGGCGTGCTCTCTTTAATGTGCAAAATTAATTTCTCTTGTTTTCGATGCGCACGCGTTAATTGGAATCACTTCACTACGTTTGAAATGACGTGGTTGATGTGCCGTTTAATTAAATTTCAAATGACACGAGCCAACAGATCACGACACTTTTGTATATAAAAGAGCGTGTGAATTAAACAAGTCACATATTATAAGCACTGATGAAGATCCGGGCTTACGGATCGAAAGCTTTGCGGAAATCATTAAGCTATGCATTCCGAAGGTTTTACAGTGAAATCAAGTACTTTTGCTTTAATTTATTGCTTTTTATGCTTTCAAAACAGGCAAGCTCGTTTTTTTGCAAAAATCTAATCTAATCCATATAAGTTACAATAATCTAATCTATATAAGTTACAAAGGTATTGTTAACTGATCTGAAAGATTTCAGTATTCCTGGTACACATTTTAATAATGAATGAAATGTAATTTCAAAATTAAATATGCATATCAAAAACAATACTTTTTATCAGAACAACACGTTGTTATTTCCTATTTTTACAAAAACATGTTTGGAAACAGGATTTAGTCCTCCAGCTTGATGTCATATTCCATTTATTTGGATATTTCAATAAAGGAATGTGAAAAATTTGATACCAACACACATGTGAACAGATACTATCACCTAAAAATAAAAGAAAACAGGCATATAGTGAGCACAATTCTTTAACAAACTCACTAAAATAAGTTAAGTTATGCTATGGCAATATATAACAATATCAAATGTCACCATCTTCAGTGTCCAAAAAAAGTGCCGCGCGCATTTTTTCTGGTCGCATAACTGGTATTGCACCCGATTAGCACGTTTGACGCCGGCTGGCGGCCGGAAATTTTGTCTCCGATTGCTCGGCTGCCAGCCGGGCTGTATACTATAGTATACTATTCGTTCAAAAAATGCGCGCATTTCGGAGACTGGTTCTAGAGTGTCTCATAAGCAGAAAGCCACCAAAATTACATTAAATTTTCCGAAAATCATCGAAATGCATCTAAATTCCAATTCCCAATGCATACAGCTAGCTATGCGACAGGTAAATAAACGAGAAAAAAGAGAAAAACTGAGAATTATTCGCGCTCACTCTGAGATTCGAACTTACGACCCTCGGCATACACGCTAAGTGTTGTTCCCCTGCGCCACCACGTCTTACACGGAAAATATGTTAACATCCCATATGAGGAGAGAATTTGTAGCCACTGTGATTTGAATGAGGTTGGTAATGAACAACACTATTTAATGCAATGTGCCAATACAAAATTCACAGTGATTAGAACGAACTTCATTACTAATCTTTTTCAAATTAACTATTCTTTTAGATTTTTTAATAACCATGATCTTTTCATATATATTATGTCAATGAAAGACAAATCCATAAATTCACTAGTTGCTAAATTCTGTTATGATATTTTAAAAACATTTGACCAATTGTAAGTTTGTATCTTAAGCCCATTTTCCATATACTGTAATCAGTTTATTTGTTTGTAATTCGACATATCAGTAATGGTATTTTTGTATGAATAAAGTTATTATTATTATTATTTATTGTATATAAAGAGGTTATTCTTAGCCAGCGCGATTTATGATTGCGTAAATACGTACACTATTGTACACGGCCAAGGGTACAGTACCAGCGGAGCCGTATCTACTCTTTAATACAACATTTACAATACATCACGGCATAGATCACGGCTACCAGTCGGGGTTATTTAACTGTAATACAATACGACAATGCAATACGAGTGTCAGCCGAGGCTGCCGGTAGTATACAATAGTATACTACAATACATCACAGCTGCCAGCCGGCAATACGGCTATCAGCCGGGCGTGTCTGTAGTATACTATAGTATACTACAATCCATCGCGGGTACCAGCCGGCAATACGGCTATCTGTTAAGAATAATTTCCCGCCAAATTCTATAACGCTAAATATGATTGGTTAAAGATTAATGAGATTCTCTCCTCTGATGTGGACATTCGGTCGGACATGTTTTTTAGAAAATCAATTCATATTATTAAAGTTATGTTTATCTTCAAATAAATAGTTATACAATCGAAAGTGAGCGAATATTTCAATAGGTTATGGGCCCAGGACGTGGTGGAATTGAATTAAAACGTGTTTATTTGTCCTGTTTGGCGGAAATTTTTTGGTGAAAATATTTCGAGTCTAATATGGCGGAAATTACGAAGATCGATAAGCTAAATGGCAAGAATTATCAGTCTTGGAAATACAATGTCAAGCTAGTTCTTATGGAACGTGGCCTTTGGGGCTTTACACAAGAAGGCAAAGAAATACCTCCTGACGAAAATGCGACAAATGCTGTAAAGAATGCTTTCCAGTTGCGATCAGATAAAGCCTACTCTTTAATTGCCTTAAACGTCGAGGAACACTTGCAAATACACATTTCGAGTACGACAGATCATTTAGTAGCATGGACGAACTTGCAAAAACAATTCGAGTTTGTATCTGTTACCCAGGTCGTGCGTTTGAATCGTAAATTCTATGCAGCCACCATGGAAGAAGGTGGAGATCTTATGAAACACCTGACCTATATGACATCACTGGCAGAACAACTGCGTGAAATGGAAGAAGGTCAAAGAAATTCGCTACTGTGGTGCTAGGCAGTTTATCCGAATCATATGAAAATCTCCTCACAAGTTTGAATGCGAGGAAAGCTGAAGAGTTGGAATGGGACAATATAAAGGGATTGTTAATAGAAGAGTATTTGAAGAGAAAGGAAAAATTTGAGAATAACAAGAGTGACAATGCATTGCTTACAAACAGGAAGTCATACATGAGCAGAGGAAGAAATTATGATCGAAGAAGACATGGTGAACATTCTAGAAATTGGACTCCTGTAGACTACAAGCCATCATGGAACACCAATAAAGGTGGGGATATATTGACACCAGTAGCACAAAAACAACGTGATGGCGGAAGAGCAAGAAATATTTTATGCTTTAAGTGTAACAAAGCTGGAGACATCGCCGGGAACTGTCCACTCAACAATAGAAAAGGTGGAAACAAAGGGGAACATTCGAAGCTTGCGGAAGGTGGTGGAGTAGCACTGATTTCAAGCACAGGAAATTCAAATGAATGGTATGTGGATTCAGCTGCGACAAAGCATATGACAAATCGCAAGGACCTTATCATCAACTACACTCAATACCAAACACCGGTGAATATTTATTTGGGTGACAATACCTGTATCAAAGCCCTGGGTAAAGGAATGGTTGAGCTATATACTCAAAATGACAATATATTCTATTTGGAGTTACACAAAGTATTGTATGTGCCGATGTTAGCAAAAAACCAATTGTCTGTGCCTGCAATGGGAGCTAAAGTGTCATTCGATGACGAAAAATGTGTTGTTTCCAAAGAAGAAAAAGAATACGAGATTAGTAAATTGGTAGATGATATGCTGTATACTGTTAATCCAGTTGAATTTGCCCATCCTACAACTGAACCCTTGGATATGCGGCACCAGAGATTTGGTCATCTAAACAATGGATATGTTAATCAACTGATGAAGAATGATATGGTCACCGGAATGATGTATGATGAAAGTAAACAAGTGGAGAAAGATTGCAAAGGATGTTCAATGGGAAAAATGCATAAGAATCCCTTTCCAAAAGCAAGTCTACATAGGGCAAGCAGACCTTATGAAATCATACATACTGACATATGTGGACCAATGCAATTGCAAGTTGAGTCGATTGGCGGTAGTCGTTATTTGGTCACATTTACTGATGACTATTCCAGATATGCTGTTGCTTACTTTATTAAGAAGAAAGATGAAGCATTTACTAAGTTCAAGGAGTTTGTGAATTATGTTGAAAATCAAGATGGAAATCATAATAAAGTGAAGATTCTGCGCAGCGACAACGGCGGTGAGTACAAATCGAACAGTTTCTCCAAATTCTGTACAGAGAAGGGCATTGTCCAACAATTCACTTGTCCTTACACCCCTGAACAAAACGCTGTGGCAGAAAGATTAAACCGTACGATTTTAGAATCTGCAAGATCCATGATATATCATGCAAATTTGCCCCTAGTCTTTTGGGCTGAAGCGTGCAATACAGCCGTGTACCTACATAACCGAAGTCCTACAGTTGCATTAAAGGACAAAACCCCTCATGAATGCCTTTTCGGTGAAAAAACAGATGTTTCTAATCTTAAAGTCTTTGGATGTATGTGCTATGTTCATATCCCGGACAGTAATCGTAGAAAATTAGACCAAAAGTCTTATGAAGCTATATTTGTTGGCTATCCTACTGGCACAAAAGGATACAAAGTTTATGATGTTAAAAGAAGAAAGTCCATGATAAGTCGAGATGTTCAATTCTTAGAGAAGAAATTTCATAATTTTGAGAACCCAAAGAATGACTTTGTGTTCAAGCAGCAAGAGAGAATTGAAGTTCCGGATGATGAAAAACAAACTGTCTCGAGTTATTTTATCTAGATAGAGTTGATGATGAACTTGATCAAACCTTCAACGAAGATCAGGATGAGTTCAGAGTTGATCCTGTTGTTGAAACAAACATTAACTTGAATGAAACCATGGAGCAGCCCGTTAATCCCGAGAACGACGAACCAGTGGGAGAAAGTGAAACCCCATCTACTTCGAAAACATACGAAGAGCGGTTTATGGAAAACGTGAAAAATTTAGGTCCTGTAAGACAGCGTATGATTCCGAGTAAGTTCAGAGACAATGCATGTCCAGTAGTCGAGTCTTTAACATCTGAAGTTGATGATCCAGAAAGTGTCCAAAGAGCGCTGAATGGGAAGTATGCGAAGGAATGGAAAGACGCGATGATCTCAGAATATTCTTCATTACTAGAAAATGATACATGGGAATTGGTTCCTCCCTGTGATGATCAAAACGTAGTCGGATCGCGGTGGGTGCTAAAGGTAAAGCGGAAAGAAGATGGATCAATTGATCGTTTCAAAGCGAGAGTTGTAGCTCAAGGATACTCCCAAACAAAAGGAGCGGATTATGACGAAGTATTTTCCCCCGTGGCCAGACATACATCTTTACGTACATTACTGGCATTAGCCAACGAATATGATCTCGAAGTCCACCAAATGGATGTTCGAACTGCTTTTTTAAATGGCGACATTGATTGCGACATTTATATGGAACAACCGGAAGGTTTTGTTGATCCAGACAAACCAGATTATCTTTGTAAGCTGCAGAAAAGTATCTACGGTCTCAAACAGTCTGCACGCTGTTGCAATGACACGCTCGATGGATACTTAAAGTCGAGAGGATACCGAAAAAGTGGTGCAGATGGTTGCATTTATGTTAAATCGGTTAAAAAGGACGGTGGTCGAATAAGTTTTGTGATACTCGGAGTTTACGTGGACGATATAATTCCAGTTTCCAACGATATCCAAATGCTGAATTCAGAGAAGAAAGCGCTCAGCGAAAGATTTAAGATGGATGACAGAGGTGAAGTTCATTACCTATTGGGAATGCTGATTAAACGAGATCGAGAAGCCAGAGTTACTACAATCAGTCAGCGTAATTACGTGGAACGAGTCCTAAGCAAATTCGGAATGGAATCATGTAAACCGGTTTCAACACCACTGGAACCTGGGACAAAGTTTTCAGAGTTGTCAAATGAGGATGAAAAATTTGACACACAAACATACCAGCAAGCGATTGGATGCCTAACCTATCTTTCAGTGATTTCAAGACCAGATATCTCAGAGCTCTGCAGTGGGAGCACTTTCACAATTTATGGCAAAACCTAGCAAAGATCATTGGATCGGAGTGAAACGTGTATTACAATATCTTAAAGGAACTTTAGAGTTTAGATTATGGCCTGAAATACTCAGCAGATGAAAACCCTACACTAGTCGGTTATTCAGACTCTGACTGGGCAGGAGATATTAATACTCGTCGATCAACATCAGGTTATGTATTTCAAATTGCTAATAGCACAGTTAGTTGGTCGAGCAAAAGGCAGAGGACAGTCGCAAAGAGTTCAACAGAAGCAGAATATATTGCCTTAAGTTTAGCCACGCAAGAAGCGATATGGTTACAAAGACTGTTATATGATGTTGGATTTAAAATCAGAAAACCGATAAAAATCTTCGAAGACAACCAAGGAACAATAGAATTGGCGAAGAATGCCAAATATCATAATCGAACGAAACATATTGACATTTGCCATCATTTTGTTCGAGAACGCGTTCAGTCGAAGGAGATCAATGTAGTAAATTGTCGAACAGATGATATGAAAGCAGACATACTAACAAAAGGATTAGCAAGATCAAGTTATGAAAAGTTAAGGGACTTGATTGGGATTACATCTGTTTGAACATTGTACTTTAATTGTTGAAGTTAAATTTATAAGTGAATGCACATTTTATCGTGAACTCATTAAGTGGGAGTGTTAAGAATAATAAGTTCCCGCCAAATTCTATAACGCTAAATATGATTGGTAAAAGATTAAGGAGATTTTCTCCTCTGATGTGTACATTCGGTCGGACATGTTTTTAGAAAATCAATTCATACTATTAAAGTTATGTTTATCTTCAAATAAATAGTTATACAATCGAAAGTGAGCGAATATTTCAATAGAAAAGCATTCATTCGCTTATTCGCTTTATTTATACGACTTTGGCAGAAACAAAAGTGAAAAGGTGATTATTTTTAACAAAATTAGCACACGCTTTTGGAAAATAGTATCACAATTTAATGCATGACTGATTCACCTTAATGACTACGGCCTGCATATTTGTGGACAAGCTAATTGTACTAAGACTGATTTTCTTTATTTAAAGGATTTAAATTCGCTAAGCAAAAGTGAAAAGTGTGTTCGCAATGAAATCTAGACAACGTCACGTTTGCTTATTATTAATTAATATTGCTGAAGTTAAAATTGTTTTGGTATGTTCGGTCTTTTGATAATAAATTAGTAATAGTTCTTTATGACACATACTCAATTTTTTTCTTTCATGGGTTTTGGTCAGGAACTACTTACTACGGTATGTCGGCTCAAATTGCAATCTGAATCAGGGAGGGATATATTACTGAACGGGTCTATTGATGTTCGACCAATTTTAGCACATTTCTAAAAATAATGAATAATGAAAAAAAGCCTCAACTATTTTCGAAATCAGAAGGACGGTATTCTATGACTTTACTTCCCTTGGCCTATAGTGAAACATAGGAAACATGTGTGGGCCGTGGGGGGATTTGGAGACTTTACAAAACAAAACAAGCTTTTCCCCAATTTGTGCACTAATATAGACAGTTGTGCAGCAGACAAGTTGGGCACTCACTGAAAGTAAACACTTGATACAATGTAACCAATATATTGAGGAAACAATATATAAAACGCATCAGTCTCCGATTCGCTATTCGTCAGCACTATATGGAGACATTAAAGGTACATCAATTATACGTATTTTGATAGCTATGTATTTTAAATCAAGCTTTGACATGTTACCTCTTCTAAAGATTCCAACACTTTTTCAGCAGATTCTTCACGCTATGAGAAAATGCGGAATAAATAATTAAAAATTTGGTATAGGCTCGTCACTCGCCAATTTTTAAACATATGTACAGTCACGAAACCAAAACAACATGAAACCATACCCTCCATCGTTTGAGAATGGCGCCCATTATTACACAAGAACTTAGTAAGTCCAAACAGGTCTGTTTCCCGTCCGTTCCTGCATCGTTTTCAATTTTGACAGTGCTTAGTTTGATCTTTCACTTTTTGACCGCCATATTGTAAATTCCGGCGTGTTTTTCCTGTTTTTGCCGCCTGTTCGCAGGAAAAATCTTGTCCCACACAGGCCAATATTCGTAACTCTCCGATGTTTTTCTTCAACTATAAACTCTCTCTGATGCTCCTAACTCTCCGATGTTTTCTTCAACTATAAACTCGCTCTGATGCTCCTAACTCTCTGATGTTTTCTTCAACTACAAACTCTCTCTGATGTTCCTAACTCTCTGATGTTTTCTTCAACTGTAAACTCTCTCTGATGTTCCTAACTCTCTGATGTTTCTTCAACTATAAACTCTCTCTGATGTTCCTAACTCTCCGATGTTTTTCTTCAACTATAAACTCTCTCTGATGCTCCTAACTCTCCGATGTTTTCTTCAACTATAAACTCTCTCTGATGTTCCTAACTCTCTGATGTTTTCTTCAACTATAAACTCTCTCTGATGTTCCTAACTCTCTGATGTTTCTTCAACTATAAACTCTCTCTGATGTTCCTAACTCTCCGATGTTTTTCTTCAACTATAAACTCTCTCTGATGCTCCTAACTCTCCGATGTTTTCTTCAACTATAAACTCTCTCTGATGTTCCTAACTCTCTGATGTTTTCTTCAACTATAAACTCTCTCTGATGTTCCTAACTCTCTGATGTTTCTTCAACTATAAACTCTCTCTGATGTTCCTAACTCTCCGATGTTTTTCTTCAACTCTGATAAAACTCTCTCTGATGTTCCTACTCTCTCGATGTTTCTTCAACTATAAACTCTCTCTGATGTTCCTAATCTCGAACTATTTACTATAACTCTTTTGAGTTAAGCCCCGACCACGCCCCAACTACACCTGTTTTTAACTCGAAGAAACAAACACAATTTGGACCATTCGAGTTAAGCTCCGTGGAAAATAGAAACCAAAATTGAAGTTTAAACCTATACTAACCCTAGTGGGCGACACTGAACCCCAAGTTTGACGATTTTACCATATAGGCAGCCCGGCAAATATATGTATTCACTTACAAATGCGTTAAAATACTTAAAAATGAGCATAAAGTTCGCCTGACTTTGCTATCTAGCGATAATATTGTGTAGCCATGATGTATGCAGACTCGCATGGTTACGTCATTCCCTATGATTTTACAAACAAAGATGCATAGCTTTATTTTGCAAGCTGCGGCACTGACGAAAAATATTCTTTTGTCAAAACGATATATAATTGCTTTTATTTAGAGTAACTATCAATTCATATTCCTATTTTCAATATATAGCTAATAGTTCAATTCCATAAAAAAATTAACGTGAAGCTTCAACATAATTTCCAGGAAAGAGACCAGTCATGCCATCCATAACTCCTTCATACCATCCATCACTGTTTTTCTTCAATACATAGATAATTTCACCTTCTTTGAATGACAACTCATCATCTCTGCTCGCTTCGTAGTCATAAATACTGACGACTATATAAAAGTATATCAAAGAGTACTGAGTGACCTTGCTTTGGATGCATCTGAAATCGAATCAGAGTCGTATCGGGCCAAGTGTCGACAACGAAAAACGAGCTGAGACCGATTCGAGATTGATCTAAATTTATCCACCTTGGCAGGTGATCTCAGATCAGTTCACGTTTCACAACCGAGCTAATTTTTTGCTTAGCTGCCTGGCATCTTCAGTGGCGCCTAAATTACTTTGAATTTGTACTCGAGTAAAAGTAGAATTATTTAACAATAAAACGACTTGAGTAAGAGTAAACAGTACTGGAGGCAAAACGTACTTAAATAAAAAGTACAAAGTATCCTTAAAAAGATACTTGAAGTAAAAGTACTATTGTCTGTAGCGTGTAGGGGGAACTTCTCCAATGGATTGACATACGAAAGACACAAAACAGCAAACGCATTATATGCGTGCACCTAATGTACAATATTTCACGGCATGGTCTGACTACTTTACAGACCCCGTTGAAGATATAAGAAATCCACAAACGAGAGATCCCAGACGCATGTAGCGGTCCTATTACCTATCCCAAAATTAAAATAAGTCTGGAATAAATCACCTAAAATTAAACAAAAGTTAGAAAGCAACGAAATACTTCGCTACAAAATGAAAATAACGAAGTAAAACGTTACTTCTTAAAACGACTTCGTTCCAAGTAAAAGTACTCGAGAAAAAGTTTACTTTGTTACATGCTGACTTCTCAAAAATAGTACTCAGGTACAGTATTAACGAAGTACATTTACTTCGTTACTTGAGCTGGGCAGTGGGCACTCGCTTATTGACGGTAGTTATTTACGTTAATTCATTCAGATTTTTGGGCAAGTGTGGACAGTAGATCGATCTCAATGTAGATTGATCTCAATGTGTGCTAAGTGTGAACGGCCCTTTATGTATTATGAAGATTGTGGCAATTCACTACCCATGAGGTCTTACTGGGAAATCAGTAGTCAAGTATAGTCAATTGACAGCTGTTGTTGGTAATATATTTTGTAGGATGTCAGCTCTGAATGGCTGTTTAATATATTTTTCAGTTATCATTGCATTACAGACAGTTCCTATACCGAATGTCACCTATCAATGGTTATGATCACTAGATAATTTCACCTTCTTTGAATGACAACTCATCATCTCTGCTCGCTTCGTAGTCATAAATACTGACGACTATATAAAAGTATATCAAAGAGTACTGAGTGACCTTGCTTTGGATGCATCTGAAATCGAATCAGAGTCGTATCGGGCCAAGTGTCGACAACGAAAAACGAGCTGAGACCGATTCGAGATTGATCTAAATTTATCCACCTTGGCAGGTGATCTCAGATCAGTTCACGTTTCACAACCGAGCTAATTTTTTGCTTAGCTGCCTGGCATCTTCAGTGGCGCCTAAATTACTTTGAATTTGTACTCGAGTAAAAGTAGAATTATTTAACAATAAAACGACTTGAGTAAGAGTAAACAGTACTGGAGGCAAAACGTACTTAAATAAAAAGTACAAAGTATCCTTAAAAAGATACTTGAAGTAAAAGTACTATTGTCTGTAGCGTGTAGGGGGAACTTCTCCAATGGATTGACATACGAAAGACACAAAACAGCAAACGCATTATATGCGTGCACCTAATGTACAATATTTCACGGCATGGTCTGACTACTTTACAGACCCCGTTGAAGATATAAGAAATCCACAAACGAGAGATCCCAGACGCATGTAGCGGTCCTATTACCTATCCCAAAATTAAAATAAGTCTGGAATAAATCACCTAAAATTAAACAAAAGTTAGAAAGCAACGAAATACTTCGCTACAAAATGAAAATAACGAAGTAAAACGTTACTTCTTAAAACGACTTCGTTCCAAGTAAAAGTACTCGAGAAAAAGTTTACTTTGTTACATGCTGACTTCTCAAAAATAGTACTCAGGTACAGTATTAACGAAGTACATTTACTTCGTTACTTGAGCTGGGCAGTGGGCACCCCGCTTATTGACGGTAGTTATTTACGTTAATTCATTCAGATTTTTGGGCAAGTGTGGACAGTAGATCGATCTCAATGTAGATTGATCTCAATGTGTGCTAAGTGTGAACGGCCCTTTATGTATTATGAAGATTGTGGCAATTCACTACCCATGAGGTCTTACTGGGAAATCAGTAGTCAAGTATAGTCAATTGACAGCTGTTGTTGGTAATATATTTTGTAGGATGTCAGCTCTGAATGGCTGTTTAATATATTTTTCAGTTATCATTGCATTACAGACAGTTCCTATACCGAATGTCACCTATCAATGGTTATGATCACTAGAAAGTCTATGTACTCTACCTTTCTCTTCGTAGATTTCGGGAACCCAGGCAGGAGTGGGAGGTATATCATATGTCTGATCATTTAGCTCCGGTGGTGGTGGAGGTAATGGACTGAATTCCCCTGCAACAAAATTCAAATGATCATATTAGTTAACTTACATACGACTATTTTGAAGGGTGAGGCATGCATGACTAAGTAAAGTTTCCTGCAGCACATCCAATTTAACCGCTGATTTAACCTGCGAAGTTACTTAACAATTATTGAATGAGGTTGAGCATGATATGATATCAAGCCAGAAGTTTGTGTTATCAGCCGAAGACTGAGGTTGATAACACAAACTGGCTGCTTGATAATGGACCTATTCCCTAATTAACAAAATTTTGATCTAGAGAAAAGTCTAGACAAAAATTTCATCACAGCTTGAAAGAGCATCACAAAATTAGCAATATTCCGAAGTTTCTTTGCAAAATGCGGATAATATAGCCCTGCGAAATTTGCCGTTTTTCAGTCATTTTGTATTACGCACGGGAAATTGATACCGCTTTCTGAAGAAAGGTATCAATTTCCCGTGCGTCTAGACTTGTCTAGATCAAAATTTTGTTCATTAGGGAATAGGTACATTCTTCAAACCTGGCGAAAACCGAATTCAGTAATTGTTTTATTTATTTATTTAAAGATGAAAAAGAATTATTTTTAGTTATTTTTCCCATTTGCAAACATATTGTTTTTGTCGTGTTCCACATTTCGTATTCGTATTTCCATAGCATGACGTCATAACTTTGAGTATGGTTTTTCATATCAACATTATGACGTCACCACGTTGAATATGTCAGAACGCCATAACTGGTCAGCTATTGAGTTAATGACGATTTCACAGCTGGCTGTTACCAATCAGAAACCATACCATACCATACCATACCATACCATACCATACCATACCATACCATACCATACCAAGTCATACAGTACTACATCACACACTTCATGGCATACATCCCATACAATAACATACTGCAAAACCATACCACATACGGCGAGGCATATACGTACTCGCCAACATTCAACAACTCAGCAAACCAACAACACATTTTATAATATAGCATTTGTAAATTCTGAACGCTGATTGGCTAAGAGCCGTGTTGATATAACTCAATGTCAACACGGGAAATTTTCCGCCGCTTGTAAACACGGAAATTTTTCTTATCCTTCGGGCTTTTGACATTGCTATATTATAAAAAAAATATAAAACATTTTTTCCGTATTGATATATAGTTATATCAACACTCGTGGAAGTTGGGAAAACTCGAAATTGTATGAAAACACTCCGCCCTTCGGGCGTCGTGTTTCCATACAATTTCTCATTTTCCCTATTCCACTCGTGTTGATATAACTGTATATCAACACGGAAAATGTTTTATATTTGTTAAATATGACACACGTGAATATATGACGTTAAGTCCGAAGGACTATAACTATATTTTTCATCTCTTCTTTCTTTATATTAATATTCATTAATTTTTGTATTTTTTTTTACCGTCATTAATAATTTGATTACATATTTATTTATAAAAACAATGTGCTACAAAGAACATCTCTAATTTGGGAGATAGCGAGTGTTCAAGAAGGCAATAAATCGTATCAAACCTGAACGACTCGGCTCTCCGTGATTTGCAAATGGACTAGGAGGTGGTGGTAGAAAATCTAGAAGAAAGGTTAGTATATTGGTATGAATGCATACGTATATAGGATTGTTAGTTCGCGGATTATTCGGTACATGGCACAAGAAATGGTCAATTTATTTGCACATAAGCGCAAGACTTAGATATTACGTTAAGTTAAGGCAAAAAACTAATATTTTTATGATGTTATTGTGATATTTTAAATTCATTTTCGCTGCTTTTTTAAGAACCAAACGTTGTTTTGTGCGACAAATCATTGCAGAGTGCGATAAATCGTACGTACATTGCAGATTACGTACCGGAGGTACGCCAGCCAATATTACGGTCTGGTACTTCTTTGTTTTCAGCCACGTAGGTGCGAGGAACTCTTGCTATCTGCGTACTTACTATTTGCTGGTACCTTCTGACCTTTCCAAGCCCATAAGGTATTCAATACCGTAATTTAGTTGGTATATCATGTGTCTGAGATGTCTTGGCATGAAACATGATTGGATCGACCGATGGCACTAAGAAACTGATTATTCGTATATGCAATTGTGCTTCTTTTTCTACCTCGTAGTCTGAACCATTGAAATGAATATAACTGGAACGCTATATAGCCTTCAGATAACTGTCTATCTTTTTCTTGAAGTCAAAAAATTTTCGGTTGGAGGTAGCGTTCCAGTTCTTTTCAGTTCAATTGCCTGAATTTTCAGAAACCTGTACTTTATGAACCTTATTTTAATTACTAAGTACACATTGAGTACAGAGTTTGTACTAGTGCAAGTACGCGGCAACAACCATTGGCGTACCAGTCAGGTACGACTATAAAAATCCTGAATTATCGTACTCTGCATTGTTTGTCGAAAGAGTTAATGAAAATGCAATGTATAATAAAACAGTTATTGAATTCGGTATTCTTGGTTTCATTTGACGTCACAAAAGTGACGGGAGGTAAAACAAACCAGAGTTATCAGGGTGAGTCGATTGTTCGTTTTATGTATTAGCCTTGCGTTTGGTGACAAATACATGGAATTTCGTATCATTTTCTCACTCCAGTACAGCATAAACATCAATATGAACAATACAAAACATAAACATGCATAATGCCTTAAGGTGGAGTTACACGAGCAACAAAATTGCTGCAACTTGCAACAACATCTAATTTCAACGCATGTTAATTGAAAATGTTTACACATAAATTACAAATCACAAGACAACATGTGTCGACATTTCTACTTAACATGCGTTGAAATCAGATTTTGTTGCAAGTTGCAGCAATTTTGTTGCTCGTGTAACTCTAGCTTTAGTGAAACCCAAGAATTAGTGACATCCCGAATATCAGGGTCTCGCTATAAATGTTATCACTTAATAATTCTTGACATCGCAAAAACCTCATCGCAAAAACCTCGAACTTTATAGACATGCTCCAACTCTGCATCTCAAATATTTCGAGACAACACAAACTATAACGTAAATCGGTGTGTCACCAAAATCACCATCTACTACTATCATATATTAATTACCATCATATACTGAATAACAAGAAAATACCTGGTAATGGATTATGATTACCATCCACATCAAGGGTCATCGGGGGAGGGGGTGGTGGCTCTGGGGACATTGGTTCTAGATCAGTAGGTATTGAAGGTGGAGGGGGAGGAGGGGGTAAGTCAACTGGTGAACCTGGTGCGTTTACCATAGGGGGAGGGGGTGGGGCAATATTTGGTAACACAGGAGGAGGTGGGGGTCCATTTGGCGCTTTTGGTACCTCTGGAGGGGGCGGTGGGGCACTTGGAGGTGGCTGATTTTTAGCACGAACTCTCAGAGTGCCTGTAGTGACTGCCTTTGGTGCTGTAGGTGGTGGGGTAGGTGTGGTAGGCGAGGCTGTTGATCCACGACTGCTGCGTACTGAGGGATTGCGTTTTGATTCTGCTGCAGCAGACTGGAAACCATGACCTTAGAAAAGTTAGATGAAAGATATTTATTTCACTTCAAGTTTATTGGTTCGATTTGAAACATCAGCATGTCTAGGTAAAATTGCTGGTGAAACTAACTTCGTGCTGGGATCATCCCTTATGCAACATTTTTTGTGTCAAATGTCTTGACCAGGCTTGCACTTCTAACTTTTAAAGCAAACTACCGCATAGAAAAATAGTTGCGGAAACATTTGGATGTTTCCTGCAATGCATCTCTGCATGGGTGGTAAAAATACCGGGTCATAGGACCATTCGTCCTGGAAAATTTCTGTGGTCAGAAAAAAATAGAAAAATCAATATCAATCAGAAATAAAAGTCAGCAGATAAAGTATATATCTTCAACTCCTTGATCATAAGGTGGCTCAACAGTGAATCCATTGAATCTAAGGAGATCAACAAATATCCCGGAGTGCAAGCTACCCCAAACATTGAACAAAATTTTACCAGTAGCTTTGATTTTATAATATTGTTTTTAATATACCGGAATATAGCGTTCAATTTGGAAAGCAGTTATGAAAAACCATTAACTTGCAGAGAAATTTATATTCTCTTGTGGTCCCAAAAACTAAAATATTTATTCCACCGTCCCATGCTTCTCTGTTTGCCTATCCTTGGAAGTTGGAAACATTTTGCGGAAACTTAGAAAACAAAAATGTTTCCAACAGATGAACAAATTCAGAATATTTTTGCTGTGGAAACAAGGGCGACCTTAAGCATGTCGAGCACAATGTCATGCAATGCAACGGTGGTAGCCAAAGCGAGCTTCCTTCGAATAAATTATTGTGAAGGAAACTTGTTGGTTGAAAACATTCCTGCTGGGCCAATTTGTAGTACCAGTTGTCGCGGCTTGAAATGTTTGCGTTGTAAAAGAGACGTAGAAGTCTCTGGCTTGCCATTGAGACAACATTTTTCCTTATACATAAATTTTCTTTTCTACAAGATCACGAATATCATTGTATAAACAGGCATCATCGTCGTGTTGTCGCCCTGTTTGTTTAAGGTCCCTAATGTTTCCTGCTTTGCTCATCTTCGGATATGGATAAGAAGTAATATTTCCAAGACAATGATTCCGCAATATAATGTTTCCTAGTTTGCTAAATGTCCAGATGAAAGTCACTGACGACGTCTACCTACCGACATTATCCAAGGCATTGTAATCGATCGGTTGTCTTTGATAACGTTTGGGCTGTTCTCTCTGTGAAGGAGCGATAATTTTGTGACCACGTGTCGTGTTCTTGCTTGATGCTAGAACACCAATTTCTCTTCGAGCTACTTTTTCTTTGTGCACCTGGACGACCTAAAGACCCAAGTGCCAACGTAATCAATTTTAATGTCTTCATAAAATACAATTATAGTTACTGTACAACCTTCTTCCCCAGTGTTAGCTGGGGGGTTCCCAATAGACGCCGCCACCGGGCAATTTTCGCCTTCTATAGCGCAGACAACCGCCAGTTATTTCTCCAAAAGATTATAACCCAAAATATTTCCTCTTACCAGTTACCACAGCAATGTCAAGAGAAAGGTTTCTCGCGTTTAAAAGATATTCTTCGTTAAATATTAAAATTATTTGGGACAAAATCCGACATAATATAATTATATATGACAAAATCTCCAAAGCTACTCTCACCAATGGCCGGAAATTTCAAAATCTTTATGGGAGACGCCCTCGGAACTCACCTCCTCCAAGGAGAGATGTATTCACATAGCCCTTTACTTCTTCCCAAAAGCCCCCTACTCTAAATTCTATTGCCGGAGAACACTGTGTATTAGTAACTGAAAGAATTAAGCTCTAGATTTCCAGTCATGTCAGTTCTTTTAGGAAACGTACAGAACACAACCTAACAATCACGGAATAAAATGTGTTGGGTCCGTGTTCATAATAATTAATGACACTGCAGAAGGGAAGGCTGATAAAGTTTTAGTGATCAAGAAGATTGACTAATATGTGGTATATAATTAGCTCAACCTTGACGATAAGCGTACTATTTTAGAATATGGAAAAGGGACTTGTTGTTGATTGTATGTACTTGGTGTATAAACATGCAGCCATTAATGATCATTCGATCAAATGTCAGCTGGGATTTTGGCCATCTCACTAGATACAACAAAGTGTTGAAGGTATATTTTTAGCTAGGCTTGAAGTTTCAAGTGAAATTATACTGCCAGTATAATCTTTAGACCTCGTCAGTGGCAGCTAGTGACGAAAAATACAACAGGTCCTCTGGCAGGAATCAAATCTACAGTCCTGTGATTCCGGGTGCAGTGCTCTAACCAACTGAGCTACAGCAGTTGCGAAGCATTATATGATGCATGTCTTGCATTCTCTATACTGTAATTAATTAAACTATAATTCATCGCAGAGGTCATGTATATTCAGGGCAAAGTGTACCTGCATGTCAAAACTCCACTTTGTAGGCACTCCTCAGTGCCAAATCCCGAACATGTATCAATGATGCATGAAAGATTGACCTCACATGACTAGTGCTTGAATCTTATTTCGTGTATTATTTGACACTCGACCAATTTTCACATATTTCTGAAAATTAAATGTCTTGGAGTCTATTTTTGAAATCATAAGTTAGGGCAGTACTCTCTATTCAAATTCACTTCCCTCGGCCCAAGCGGAATCTTAGTTCTTAAAAGAGTAATTAAATACTGTAAATAAAAGCATAATGACTGATATTATAAATTAGGTTTGTCTTTTAGAATTACGATACCCCTGACCATACATACGTTGCACAGTAAAGGTGCGCGAATCCGATCCGATCCGATTCGGACAGTAATTCACTCGGATTTCTTTTTTTTATTGTCGGATCGGATTTTGTAAGATAGTTCTATAGCAGGGAATGCCTGGAAGGCTTTGGAGCTGAGTAAGCCGAGTGATTTGGTCAAAGTGGAGTAATACAATATAATGCCGAGCGATGACAATAAAGTAGAAAAGTGTTTTGATATTTCTGACAAAAGAAACACTGGCGTTATGTGGATTTTTCTTAAATCGGTTACGTATGGGAATTGGGATATAGAAATGTTGTGATTCTTTGTTTAGCTTGTTAGGTTTATGTGTCATGAAGCACTGACAATGAGACTTATTAGCGATAAACTTTAAGATGTTTTAAATTGTAAACCCAGCTCAAGGTCATGCATTGTTATAATAACTCGGTGACTAGTCGGGGTTTTTTTCTACGCTAGCATAACTGTATAAGGCATAATTATGTGATATTGCGCTGCAATTTTTATCGTATTCGTATCTGCTTATTTTTGCTGGAAATTCATTATTTCCAATATATCGTTTATGATCATGAAAAAATACGTTCATACACCGAATAATTAACGCACGCTGTATATAATAACTTAAGTTCAGATCGGATTACGAATTTTAGCATCGGATCGGATTTTATAAACATTTTTTCGGATCGGATCGGATTGCTTTTTCCATCTTCGGATCGGATTCGGATTGAGAATTTAGACAAATCATCGAATTCAAAGAGGTCAATCCGATCCAACGCACACCTCTATTGCACAGCGGTAGAGCCCTTTTGAATATTTATCTCCATTGTCTCCAATGAAGTTTTGCTTAGCACATGTCATCGCTTTTGTGTCACTGGTCTCAATAAAGTGCAATCTATTTGGTTACGGTATATATGTTGGGGAGTTAATGAACTTAATCAAAATGAAGCATAATCAATTCCAAAATAAAACTGATTATGGTCCGCTCTTCCACCTAAAAATTTAACGGTAAAAGTTTGGTATTTTAACAGTAACAATAAGTAACATTTTAGTATTTTAACGGTAAATCTTTGAAAAGTGTTCTGAAACGATAAACAGTATTTTTTTCCTCACAATTCACGCTAAATTTTTAGTGTTTTCACAACTGACGGTAACTGAAATTGAGTGAATCACAAGTGAATAACCCATCAACACCCTCTTTTATGGCCGGACCACAGAGGCACAGATCTGTGGGGGGAAGAGGTGCCAGAGCTACATCTGATAGAGGTTTGGAAACCTACCATTGGTTTGGATTAATGGATAAACATGGCAATCAAACCAATGAAAGTAAAATCTGGATGTTTTGTTCAGCAAATTACAAAATGGCAGAACTTATCCATGTATACATCTGGTGTAAAAAATTTTCTTACCCCAAATGTTGGTGAGCAAAACTTATAAAAAGCATACTGTATACCAGCTCTTCCAGAACCAAACGTCTATTTTTTAGTAAGGTTCTACTTTCATTCTGAAAACATTTTGAGATTCTATTTATCCTTTATACATTGGTGGACACATAATAATGGGGGAGGGGATATGTTGCCAACATATGTCATATGACCACTTTTGTAGCTTGAAAGCTTGTAGCTCAGACTTTTTGCCTTAATTTCATGCAACATATAGGGTTTTTTACACAACTTATTACAGTTATTCAACTATCATTTAGGCCACTACAAGTTATGCCACTATTTAGGCCACTACAAGGTCCGCCGCCCGCGTCCTTTCTCCGTAAAGTATTATTTCAGGACTATTTTGTTGTTTACAATTAATTTTTAGTTCTTGAAAATGTTCGCGAAGGATTTGACTCATAGAACGATAAAATATATCATTTTGAAATATATCATAGAAAATATATCATAGAAATATATCATTTTGATATGTAAATTCCTTTGTAATCTGTCATGCATGTCGATTTTTAAATAATATAAATGCAATTTATGTAAAAGTTTATAATATTTTAATACAATTAGCATGAAAAGGGACAAGAAGGACCACAAAAATGTGAGCAAAGCCACAATTGTAATTGTGTCCTATAGTCCTAACCACCCGCCCGCCCGCGTCGTAAATGAAGGTAAGGCAGACCAGAAACTTTGCCGTATGGTGCAATGGCATTTCAGAGACTCTAAATTCAAAAATTTTCCTGGGGGCATACCCCCGGACCCCCCAAGACAGACCTCGCACAGGTCTGCGGCGCTCGGATCGTGCCTTCGGCCCTCGTTTATCAAGCGTAACATTATAGGGGCGCATATTGGTCCCAGCACGCCACTGTTACGTTCTACAGCAATTTTTAACGCCATTGCCATCGATTGATTTCAGGGAAATTCGAGGCCTGAAGAGGGGCAGTTGCCGCCCCCCCCTATCCTTATGTAAATTTTCATAATGCATAATGAAAGACTTTTTACATGTTAAGGTCAACAATAAAACTTGTAAATATAAATAAAATTTGGAAATATACTAGATTTAATACTCTTGAAACATAAATGAAAGTTACCACCTATAATTTTAGAACACCTCTTGACACCACAATATATTTATATTTTATACACAATATTAATTAGGGCAGTGGCGTAACGTTAAAGCAGGGGGCTCCCGGTTCAAAATTTTCGGAGGCCCCCTAGTAGAAGTGCCAAAGGCACGAGTCGAGCGCTGTATATGCACGAGTTTTCTAGGGGGTCCAGGGCATGTTCATCCGGAAAATTTTTGAATCTAGACTCTCTGAAATGCCATTTCCTGGACTTTGGGGAGAGATTTTTCAGAATTCTGATGGTCAGAAAACGACATTGTAACATATCACAGGCCCTGGCCAATGTTTTTGCTCTATTGCCTAAGCCAGGGGGCCCCCATTGGGGTTGGGGCCCCTGGGTTCTCCCGGTCTGAGCCCATAGTAGTTACGCCACTGAAGTAGGGGCATTTTGGTAATATATGAAGAAACCATAATGTAATAATAGTTCTAGTATTGTAGTTTTAAGTTTATGTTTATGACTTTATAGGTTAGTATAAAATAATAAAAACCTAAACATTCAATGATACATTTGGTCAGACTTGGATTGTTCACTTCGTACAAAATTTGAAAATCACTTACGTTAGAAATGTAGCTGATATCTGAATTCATTTGGCTGAGTTGACTTGCTTGGTTGTCAAGTAAATCGAGCACATTTGCGGCCAAAGCATGAATCTGATAAGCAACACTGGCCAAAGATTGTGTCGCATATTGTTTTGTCTCAGCGAAAACCGTTCGTGTTCCTTCTAACGCTTTTATCTTATCGTTGCTTTTGTATGTATTATTCACCGATACATATTGCCGTTCGCAATAGTCGGCGATTTCGGCAAGATTTTTGTGGCTGTCTTGAAGCGCTTTTTTGCCGTTTGGAATGTTCTGTTGAAAAATTGTTGCAATATTTTTGTTCACTTCCGCCATCTTGGTTGTTGTTGTATGACTGCATCGCCCAACATCGCCCGCTAGTCGAGTCTCCGCCCACCCAAACACCCTGGGTAGGAAAATAGATCAAATAGAGTTCTTCACTGAACCTCCAAATAAATTAAAATTCTTAACATCTAGTCGGAAACTTAACCCGAATAAGGCTTGCATATGGTCCTGACGATATTAAAGCAAGAGTCATCAAACTAGCTTTGTTCCATGACTGGCCAGATCCTCAAGTTCCATGACTGGTCTGAGATAAGAACAAGGGTTTCTGTTGTACGTATATAAGAGAGACTATAGCCTGCGTAGCGCCTCGCCTTGTATTTTGAGAGCCGTACAGGCTCAGAGATAAAAAATACTACTACCCCACCCAGTTCACCGCCCAACCAACCCCCCCCCCCCACGATTATTCTGCAGCCTATGCAAATTAAGAACCATCACAATTTTCAACGTTTAAAGTGCACCTAACCTCAATTCTTTTTTCATCTAATTCTTAAGAACTTTTGAGATGATATGGTAACCTGATTTTGAACTTCGAAGATTTTCGTTTGCTCACTTTTTTCTGAGAAATCCAGTTTTTTTTCTGTGTTGGTGTAATGTACTCAGGTGAATATGATGCTTGTGATGTTACTCTGAGTGTATGTCCACATCGGGCAAGCTTCCCACCGTGGTCAGGCATATTTTTCAAGCTTGCCCGGTGTGGACATACACTCAGAGTAACATCACAAGCATCAAATCCAGTTTGTTTGATATGCAAATGTCCGGAATTTACGTCACAGATGCATAATGACTAGCAAAAGCTTGTGCACGTTAATGTTATTCATTATCGAATAATTTAATTGTATCTCAAACATTCTTTTATGGACGTACGAGACAGGGGGCAGGGCAATTTCCCTTTACAAAACTGCTTAATAAGAAAACCATGGAAATTCGGGCAAATGCTAGGAAAAATCAAGAATTTTGGGCAGATTTCTCAGAAATGTCAAATTGAGGTTATTTCATTACAATCCTCCATAAAAATTCGGGCAAACCATCAACTGGGCAACATCAGATAAAATCCATAGAATAAAGACATAGGACATCACATTTGTGAAACTGCTTCGATCAGAATGCAGAACGATATCTTGTGTGTAGACTTGGTTCAAGCCCGTCTCTCAAGGGGTTGAAAATAGCGATGCACGCGAGCGGTCAAAAAAGGCGCGAAAATATGAGAGAAAAGTAGGGAGATCGAGACAGACTTGGATACCCTGCAAGTGCGCCAAATTTTACAGTCGGATTTTTCCTACGGAGGCGTGGCTTGCGAGTTGAGAACAACAAATTTGGTGGTCCTCAGGGTTCAGTTCTTGGCCAAATTTTATATTTACTCTTACATTACCTTTGGCTGATATTCTAAAACGTCATAACATGCTATTTCATTTTTGTGCTGACAACACCCAGTTATACACTCATTTGAACAAGCTTAATTTCGTTGGTAGGGATGCAACTAACGACTGAAAATATGAGAATTTCGACGTTTCGAGCGAAGGCCCTTCGTCTGGAGACACTATAGCCAAACTAGTATGTAAGTTCAGACGAAGGGCCTTCGCTCGGAACGTCGAAATTCTACTTATATATGTTTTCAGGTAGTTGCATCCCTACCAACGATAGCTTGTTCATCCTATTGGCACTATCTTCATTTGCATGTGACGATGATCACGATCTAAGTTCTACAGCTCAACGTATTGAAGATTGCCTAGCTGATATTGAGACATGGTTGTTGTTGAACAAGCTTAATTAAACTTAATGGAATAAGACTGAACTCCTAGTTTCCACTCTCGCTATTCGTCCATCGGCAGTGTTTTCTCTAAATTTTATATGTGATGTTATTACTCCTACAGACAAGGCAAGGAATATTGGCGTGGTCTTTGAAAGTATGACTATCAGACTATGTCACTACAAATTAACTCTGTTTGCAAAGCCAAAGGTGCTTTCTATCACTTGGGGATATTGCAAGAATAAGGAAATTCGTAACCCCAAAATCCACAGAAATTCTAGTTCATGCTTTCATTAGTTCAAAACTGGACTACTGCAACTCTCTGCTCTATGGGGTCCCCAAACACCAACTACAAAAGTTACAATATGTGCAGAATGATGCTGCGCGACTTATAACCCAGTCTTGCAAGTACGATTATATCACGCCATGAGTGATAATTAGTTTCGAAATGTTAGAATGCATTCCTTCGTTTTCTAAAAGTGCTCTTCCTGTCTGGCCACCACGTTAACATATACGATTTGTATAACAAAAATAAACATGAGAAACGGAGAAGACTTCACATTTATTCTCAAAAGAGAAGTGATGTTACAAAACCTAGTTTAACTAGTAAACATGCATGTCCAACATGGAAACAGTTTTTAGTATTCATCTCCTTCATCCTCGCCTTCCTCTTCAACGCTATCAACGCCAACTTCTTCGTAATCCTTTTCCAAAGCAGCCAAATCTTCACGGGCTTCGGAGAACTCCCCTTCTTCCATTCCTTCACCAACATACCAATGGACGAAAGCACGTTTGGCGTACATCAAATCAAACTTATGATCAAGACGCGCCCAAGCTTCTGCAATTGCTGTAGTGTTGCTCAACATACAGACAGCACGCTGCACTTTAGCCAAATCACCTCCTGGTACCACTGTGGGCGGTTGGTAATTGATACCAACTTTGAAGCCAGTAGGACACCAATCCACAAATTGGATGGTACGCTTGGTCTTGATGGTTGCGATGGCAGCGTTGACGTCCTTTGGAACAACATCACCACGGTACAACAGACAACATGCCATGTATTTACCATGACGTGGATCACACTTCACCATCTGATTGGCTGGTTCGAAACAGGCGTTGGTAATTTCGGAAACGGAAAGCTGCTCATGGTAGGCCTTCTCAGCAGAGATGACTGGAGCATATGTGGCAAGAGGGAAGTGGATACGTGGATAAGGTACAAGATTGGTCTGGAATTCCGTCAAGTCCACGTTAAGAGCGCCGTCGAAACGAAGAGATGCGGTAATGGAAGACACAATCTGTCCAATCAAACGATTGAGGTTGGTGTAGGTTGGTCGTTCAATGTCGAGATTACGACGACAGATATCGTAGATAGCCTCGTTGTCCACCATGAAACAGCAATCCGAGTGCTCCAAGGTCGTGTGAGTGGTCAAAATGGAGTTGTAGGGTTCGACAACAGCGGTGGAAATTTGTGGTGCTGGGTAAACAGAAAATTCCAGTTTAGATTTCTTGCCATAATCGACAGAAAGACGTTCCATGAGCAGGGATGAGAAACCAGAGCCGGTGCCACCACCAAATGAGTGGAAAATAAGGAATCCTTGAAGACCAGTACATTGATCAGCCTGAAATGAGATAACAAGACTGTTTTAAACACAAGGATGGATCCAGAATGATCTGGTAGGAGGGTGGGGGGGTGGGGGTGCTCTGCCAGCTCTGGCACGAAGTTGTGTTTGGAATGGTCACATGCGCCGCCCGCCCATCAACGTACAGCAGTACTTGCTTGACTACTGTATTTGAACTACAATTGTTGTTCACAGTTCGCTTGTCATCATGTTATTATTCAAATTACTGTATCTCATTTTGTCTCTAATATTTTTTTCCTTTATCATGAAAATCTCCCATTAAATCCACCCCTGTTTAAACACAAGTGATCAGTTCTTTGAAATTTGAATTATTCTTTCAAAGTTACTTGTTCAACCTACTGCTTATGGATGCATTGGTACATGCATAGTTATTGGACTGTCAAATGCAATTTAGACAAATGCATCTTATTCTGCTAAAGCAGAATCATACAATTGTATTACAGTAAACCCTCCATTAAGCCTTGGGCACTAAGTGGGGGAGGGCACTAACCAGAAAGGGGGTTGCAATTAGTAATCAAATTGGTATAGACATGAAGGGGCAGAGGGGGCTTAGTCTCCAAGGGAGGGAAATGTTCTAGAGAAGCAGTGCAGAATGAGATATGGGCTTAGCAGAGGATTTACAGTATTAAAAAAAGATGAGTCTCTTGGATGTTAAATTCAGGAAGGTTTAAAAATATATGTTTTCTTTGAAATATATTTTTTGTTATTATTAATGCAATGCCACATGCATATTTGCTATGAACTGCTTATTGGTGAACCCCATCCTGTTGGAGAGAGATATCAAGACATTTTTACTTCAACTTGATTTGCTTCAAGTGATCACTCATAAAACACAAAAATTGTGTTTACAGCCAAACCGGATGTTCTATTTCCCTGTGTATTGCAACATTGCAGTCAATCATGCAATGTTCATTATTTGGCTAATTGCTTAGAGCAAGTTGCAACCGGAACTTACAAGTTTCAAGTCAAAAAACCCCCATAGAATTTTATGCAGATTTACTTCGCAGAGTAAAAGAAGCAGTTCCTTACAAAGTGTTGCTTACAAAGATGTAAGACGACAATTTAATTCCTCGAGAGGCATTTCAAAATGGGTAAGACTGTGGTGCAGAGACTTTCAGAAGACTTGAGCTGGACTTGACTCTCCTTTTATCGTGAAAAGCTGACATGGACAGTCACAGGTGGATGGATCAAACAATACGAGTACAAGTATGATGACATTTATACTTCTGTGTCAATTACTCGAAAACAAATATATTTATTCCAATTTACTTTCAATTTGGCAAACAATCAGCAAAAGATTATTCCTTGTAACTTTATTTTCATATTGTTTAATAATTTGTCTTGACACAACAATGAAAACGACAATTGCAACTTGCAAGGAAACTTGCAAGTTCCGCTTGCAGCTTGCTTGGAGCAATTGGCTAATGAACATTGCAAGATTGATTGCAATGTTTGCAATACTCAGGGGATGGCTAATCAGAGACTATAAGAACATAGGTGTATGAGACAGGGGGACAATTCCCCCGCCAAACGTTAGAAAACCATGGGAATTTGGGCAAATGCTAGGAAAAATCAAGGAAATTCGGGCAAGATTTATCATAACATATGTTAACCCGGGGTGAGGGTACTAATTCCGCCCAGGGAAAGCATTAGCAAAGTCTGAAGTTCATTAATTATCGCAGGCGTGGGTGACCAATGGTGGGTGGTCAACTTTAAAATTTGCATTATAACAACTGCATGACGACAGCAAAATTATAGCAAACATTTCTTGATTTGATGATTTCTTGCAAATATATTTCATTTTTGCAAGATTTTGTTAAATTTCAAAAGCTTTTTAATTTAGAAAATAAAGGCGAAAGAATTGCTAAAAGAAGGGAGTAAAAGCGCCAACATTAACGAAGGTAGGTTTGTTTTAAATAATGATGTATTGTTCACTTTATGCATTGTTCACGTTGTGTATATTTTAAATGAAAAAGACAGCATATAATAATAATTTCAGTGTTTCTTCATTGATTACCCATTTTTATAATTAAAATTTTTAAATAAAAAAGAAAGCAAAGTTGTTTGAATGCAAGAATTTGAAATCATTTTATTTCAAACTCAAAATTTTCGATAAAGGCAGTTTAGTTTTATAAAGAACATTTTAAAACGTCTTGCGAAGCGTTTGAGGTTGAATTGGGTCATTCCAGAAAACATCCATACCTCCCCCACAGAGGAAATTGAAAGTTAACCCCCCTACCCCCTTCACATGTCCTAATACATGAATTATTTTACTATTATCAGAAACAATTTTGTCTCCCCTCCCCCTCTGGACGGCAGAACTTTCCTCCGTGGGGGGAGTGTGTACATGGATCTTTTCTGGAACGACCCATTTCACCTTAAATTGAAGCTTATGCACTCGTCATTTGAAACCCCGGCCCCCCGGCCCATGCAGGGATTTTAACATTTCACGAACGCTAAAAACCCGGCTCAAAAATACCATTCAGTTGTTAAAAGACTTAAAAAACCCTGCTCCCCGGGACAAAATTGAAGGTTTTATGTACAATTTCCTCTGATTTTCAGAGTAGAAATTAGAAAATAAAGAAATATTGAATAAGAAAAGATCGTCCGAAAGTCACCATGTTGGACCATAAAAAACATGTGTATATCTATTAGTTCCCAGACTCCACGTGCACGTGTTAAAATGGTGGTTAAAACCTGGTCGTTAAAACCCGGCACATGTGCCCCGCTGCTTCTGGCTAGTGTTTTTAAAACTCTGGCTACTAGAAAATCGATGTTTGTTTTAAAATCCTGTATTTCCCCCACTAAATCCTGTTAAAATAAAACCCCACTTAGTCACGGGGATCGGGGTTTCAAATGACTAGTGCATTATATTACATATAATAACATACCTAACATATTTGTTTGGGGAATTGATCATTTCGTAATTGAAAGTGATATTTTTAGGGGATTTTTCATTTGTAAAAATATTCACAGTAGAAATTAGAAAATAAAGGAATATTGAATAAGAAAAGATTGTCTAAAAGTCACCATGTTGGACCATGCATATAAAAAACGTGTGTATATCTATTAGTTCCCAGACTCCACGTGTGTGTTAGGACTTTCGGTATACCGACATACCGAAAATATCGGTATTACATCAATATCAGTATATCGATACCGGATATTCAACCATACCGATATACCGAAATATTTTTCGGTATACCGTGTTAAATTTACCAACTATATGGCGAAACCATAACCTTTAATTTACTACTGAATGGGAATTCAAAGAACTTTCTACTGCAATGATTTAGAATTTCCACTTCAGTGAGATTTAAACTGAGTACATGCAGTGGCGAAGCCAGCGTCGTGTGAGTGGTCATGCAAACGAGCACCGAAGGCGTGAGACATCCTAGGGGGGTCCGGGGGCATTCCCCCCCGGGAAAGTTTTTGAAATATAATCATCAAGCATCAAATTTCAGAAAATAGCTTGATCTAATGACGGTAAAATATGTGGATATTTTGGCATATTTCAGACAACAATAATGAAGATCGACACAAAAATAGGAAATCTGTGGTCTGCAGTTCCGCTAATTATTGTCATACCGGCAATTGTGCATTTCTTTTCGATCAGAAAATATTACATGCATGTTCTGTATTATCATAGTCTGTATAGACTACCTAATTGCTATCCCCTTGTAGTATTCCAAAGTGAAGTCTGAAGAGTTTTCACATTTCCAGAACTAGATACAATTTTATCCATATATACAACGGAACATAATGACAAATAGCTGCTAATACAGTCAGTATAATGTAGAATATAGGTATAATATGCAGGACTTGGAAAATATAACGCATGAGCCTTCAATTTCCTTAATTTAAAATCAATCGCCCAATTATTACAATATTACATACAGAAATGAATTAAGCATTATCAGATGTTTGAGTAGAAGTTTTACTGTCAGTTTTATAGCCGAACTCTGCATTCATATCGATTACTGGCTATTGCCAATATTGGATATTTTCGAACGCACGGGGAGTATGTACCAAATGGTAAATACAATTTAACAATATATATTGAAATTTCTTTGTTTGTTTCACAAACAAGTATATATCAAATATGTTGCTAAATCACAATCGCTAAAATGTTTGTGTTGCGTGTTGAAATGCATAAGCCTTGCAGCGCTATTTATAGAACTACATTGTTTACTACAATGACCTCGACATTGACATTGTATTTCATATAGTATATAGCGTTCGATGCTTTATACGCCTATGCTCGGGTTGAAGTCTTGAATATTCAAGACAAAATACATGTAACAATAACTAAATACCAATAGGCAATAGCTTATTTAGCCTAAGCCTGACTGGCTAAGCCATTCTTTCTTTGAATACCACGACATTTGAAAACCTTCCCGATCGGGCATATCGAAAGATCTGGCGTTTGTCTCTGCTTATAAACAATAATATTCTGCTCAGCAGAAAATGGTTTCTTCACCAATTCCCAAACAATATCGTTAGCTTTGAGTAAAGAAGAAGTCGACATGCTTGAATGACCTGAAAACGTGTTCATTCAGGCTGAAAGCTTCGAGCTAAGAGGCTGTGATCAGGTTGTGTTGCCCGTTTAGTCATACAAATCGAAAATTGCATGACCAAGGCGTCAAAAACAGCCGCATTGCGCATGCGCGAACGTTGTAAGCCAATCAGAAACCAACAAACCTAATATAAAATAATACAGCTAGTCATGAAATTCTGAAAGTGCATGACCAAAACACACAGCGAGCAAACCACGCAGCAATCACACGCAATCTTTTTCCACGCGCTTACGCAACCGGTCATGCATGTGAAACTATGCAGGACCGCTCAGTTGCCAAGGTAACAAAGCCAAAATCAACAACATACGAGAATATTTAGCAAGAATATCGCCTAAAGACCATTGATTTGGGTAAACAAAATAATAAATAAAATACTTAGGCGTAGAAGTGCAAAGATAAAGTATAATTCTATTGTAAACAATTATACTGAACTGATTTTTAAACATTTTTGGGAAAATTTTTAGTCATGCACTGCATGACCGCTGGCTTTGCCATTGGTACATGCATGTTGTTCGAAACATGTTCAAAACAGCTTCGAAATTATCGTTTTCCCTTTTAGAATTACTCAAACTTTCCTTCAAACTTCCATTAAAGAATTTTCCTTTATAATTATCAAAGGAAAACCGGTATACCGATAATATCGGTATAATTTTTTCAGTATATACTGATACCGGAAATTTCTCATACTGAACATTCCTAGTGTGTGTGTTAAAATGGTGGTTAAAACCTGGTCGTTAAAACCCAGCACATGTGCCCTGCTGCTTCTTGCTAGTGTTTTTTAAAACTCGGCTACTAGAAAATCGATGTTTGTTTTAAAATCCTGTATTTCCCCCGCTAAATCCTGTTAAAACCCCGCTTATAGTCCCGGGGGTTGGGGTTTCAAATGACTAGTGCATTATATTACATATAACATACCTAACATATTTGTTTGGGGAATTGATTATAATTTTGTAATTGAAAGTGATATTTTTAGGGGATTTTTCATTTGTAAAAATATTCTTTACCAAATTATCGTGTTACCATGAACTATACTTTAAATACTTCATGTTCGGGAAAAGACAATGGTTTGTCAGCAAGGTGAGGGGTTTCTGCATGCATGTATTTTCTAGTTTCATTACAATCCTCAATAAAAATTAAGACAAACTTTGAACTGCCCCCTGGAAAGCATCAGAACTCGGACCATGCGGTTGGGAGTCACATGATAAATGCTCGAGACTTCATATTTATGCAAATTTAGACCTACCAGTTTACGTATTCTGTCTAGAACAAGATCAATGAGTTCTTTGCCGACAGTATAATGGCCACGAGCATAATTATTGGCGGCATCTTCCTTGCCTGTGATCAGCTGTTCAGGATGAAATAGTTGACGATATGTTCCAGTTCGGACTTCGTCTAGAAAGTTTATAAGTCACAGTTAATAGGAGGGATTAAATACGGCCTTGAAATGACAAATAATTATAAAACCTTTCAAAATTTATTGCTGCTGTTTGACAATGGTTCATGTTGTACAAGTATATATGGGAATAAAATGTTTGAATCCTTCTCAATTACACCCTGAATCATACACAATACTAAATCACCGGGTGAAATACATATTCTTAACATAATACGTACTGTACTGTACAGCAGAAAAAGACTTAAAACAAACGTTGCACTGGAAAGCTGCCTTAAATTTTCTATAATTAAAATTTATACCTCAATATATACTGAAATACAGCAGGGCTGTGCAATGATTAATGAGGTTGTTCAGCAAGTATCGACAGATCATAGACATTCATTTCTTTCATGTCCATGGACAGATTATAAAACTATACAATACGTTATTTCATGTAATAGCTTTAACAGATTGACCAGCCATCATGCAGTGTCAACCGGATTGAATCCAAAGCAATCTGGACATAATTCACTTATTTAAGCGATGCTTACCTACAACAGTTGGTTCTAAGTCGACAAACACGGCTCTGGGAACATGTTTTCCAGCGCCAGTTTCACTGAAGAATGTATTGAACGAGTCATCTCCACCACCGATAGTTTTATCGCTAGGCATCTGGCCATCGGGCTGAATTCCGTGTTCCAAGCAGTAAAGTTCCCAACAAGCATTGCCCATTTGGACTCCGGCTTGGCCGATATGAACTGAGATACACTCACGCTGTAAAAAGTAGAAGTTATAGCCATTGCATAGTTTAGATTTTAGAACACAAAACACAACTAAAAATTTAGCGAATATTTCTGTTGTGGCAACGGCAATCTAAGTCGATCAAAACATTATAAAACCTTTACGAAAGCATTTAATACAAACGTTCATATTTGAAGGTTGTCTTTTTAAAAAATTATATAACTAAAATAGTACTCACCATTTTGATAAAGTTGAAGTTTAGACGCAAAGAGTTTCAAGTTACGACACTTTGCTTTTCACTGTCTGTGATGCAATAATAATCACTCGCTTCTTTTGTGTGCACAATGTGGGCGTGGAAAATACCTGAACAGGAATAACAGGAAATGCAGGAATTCGTAAGATATTGGCGTGCGGACTGGTGCGGACGAGGTAGACCGGTCTGCGGACTGCGGAGTAGCGAGCGAATTAATTTAACAATTCTTGACTGGAACCGAGGGAAGTGGCATGTTTTTCAAAATTACTAGAGAAATGTTTTGACATGTTTTTCAAAATTACTAGAGAAACTTTTGTACGAACGACTATTTAACTATGTAGAAAAACATAACATATTATCAAATCATCAGTATAGTTTTCGAAGAAATAGATATACAGAAGACGCCTTACTAAATCTAACCGATAGGAGTTTTCCTTGACCTTTCTAAGGCCTTCGATACGGTAAACCATGAAATTCTCTTCTCCAAACTACAACATTATGGGATCAGAGGAACATGTCTACAATGGTTTATGAATTATTTAAACGTAAGAACTCAAATATAGTAAAAGTTAAACAGCATAGGTCATCTGAAATGAATGTTACTGCAGGAGTCCCACAGGGTTCAATTCTTGGTCCATTATTATTTCTTTTATACATTAATGACATTGAGAACTGTAGTGATATTATTTCTTTCGTTTTATATGCTGATGATACAAACGCTTTCTATTCAAATTCGTGCTTAAAAACATTATCTAGTACTATACAAAATGAACTTGATAAGGTAGTTCAGTGGCTCAATGGAAATAAATCAGTCAGTGCATCCAAAACAAAACTTGTCATTTTTAAGTTAAAAAATAATTAATAAATCACTGGATTCACAGATAACAATAAAAATAAATAATGATATAATTAAACCAGGGGCTTTTTTAAGGATTTTCCCATGGGGGGGGGGGCATTTTTTGAAAAGGGACTTTTCTGTGAGATAATATATTAGAGGGGGATAGCAATGGCTGAAGGCTACGTGTGTAGCCAATATACCACGCATGAATGGGGGGGGGGGGGGTCTGGGGCAGTACTCCTCCAGAAAAGTTTTGAAATTTTAATCCCGGAAATGTCATTTCCTGCATTCTGAGCATCCAAATTTGCTCCAAAATTTATGCTAACTATACTTGTATTTGAAATAAAAATTTAACCATCATTTATCATTACTTATTAGAGGAGGATGGCAATGGTCAGGTGTGTGGGGGTGTACTCCCCCAGAAAGTTTTTGAAATTTGAAGCACGGAAATGCCATTTCCTGCATTCTGAGCATCCAAAATTGCTCTAAAATTTGTGCTAACTATACTTGTATTTGAAATAAAAGATGGAAAAAATGCACAAAAAGTAAAAAAGAATATTAACTGTAATTTATCATTACTTATTAGAGGGATAATCCCCAGAAAATTTTGAAATTTGAAACCCGGAAATGCTATTTCCTGCATTCTGAGCATCCAAAAATAAAAAAAATTATTAACAATAATTTATCATTACTTAGTGGTAGAAAAAAGTAACAATTTAAGTTGGCTCCCTACAGTTTTCTAAAATTTTAAGTATTTTTGGTAACCTTCGTTTTGAACCAAATTTATATTGAACACACTTAAGACAGGGCAATAATTTTACAATCAAACGGCAATATCTTTTTTTCCTTCGGTCAATTTTTCTGAATTTTTTTTTTAAGATTTATGGTTGAAAGGGGAATGACATATTAAAATTTGAAGGGATGTTTATAAGGCAAGTTTTGAGATATTCATGAATAACGACCACAAAAAATCTGTCTTATAGAATTTCTTGAAATTTTGATATGTTTGGCAAATCGTCATGCTTAGCAAATGTGCAAAGAGTTTAAAAAATTTTCACCGAAGGAAACGCGAGAAAAATAGCCCTAAATCCAGTTGAAGCTGTTGACGTGACAAGATATCGATTCGACATGATCACTATTTGCGTCAGGAACACGAAACGCGTACGGTTTATAGTTGGCTTTTTTAGCAATTTTCTCTTTGAGTTTTTGGCTTATATGTATTACACAGATATTTTTTACTTAGTTTGAAATGAAAATAAAAGATATATATATATTCAAAATACAAAACATTGAGAACACAATAACGCACTGACTTAATCCAACGTTTCTTAAATTTAGTTTTGTTGTGAAAATCGGTGTGAAAACTTTTCAAAACATTCAAGTAGAGTTTGACTTTTCGTACAAAACAACTCGTAACTGTCTGCATTATAGTTTTATTGGATTCAGCAGATAAAAAAAGTACATGCGAACTGAGTTGAATGACAGGATTTACGTAAGTTTCAGTGATAGTTCAGGAGTG